TGCTGAACCATGTAAAGCATTTGCTCCTGAAGCACCAGAAGGAAAGGAGCCAGCAGGCAAGCAGTTAAAAGTTACCAAAGTCACTTGGGCTCAGAAAGTGATTATGCCACGTAAACACAAACAGTAAATCCTGTGGGTTTTTTCTGCAGTGTTAGTTCGATGCTGTTTCTCACCCTGGGCCGCCACAGGCCCTCTAGTGCCACTTTGGCCAAACTGCACCACGCTTAACAGTCATTTGCTTGGACCCTACCGGCAAATTACGATTTGGATGAAAAGTGAATCAACCTGGTGTCTTACATAAAACGATACCATCTGCACATAACCAGTGAGGCAGGCCTCCTTCATCATCAGGAACGAAAAACGTCTTTTTCTCTAACTTTGAAAACATGGGTTTTGCAACCAAAAGCTTCCTGACTTCCCAAGACAGAGAAGTGCTGTCTTAAAATAATGTTCTGAGACAGTTACCTCTACATACCCTCCCAGTGTGTCAGTGTTGAAGTTAATACAGTCTTTATAACAACTCATTTCAGGTCAACAAACTGTCTGTAAGGATATTTGACTTTAAAATTACCTGAAGGCACAGTCTGTCATCTTCAAACATAAAGACATATTGGTATACCTAGAGTTTCTCATTCAAATGGCCCCTTAAGTATTACTAGCCCCGAGTCTTTCACAGATGGTTATCAAGACCACACACTTACCTGTACTTGAACTTCAATCTCTGAAGTTGGGTGTTCCTTCGAGGTGTTGCTATTCTGGCTGCAGCTCCTGTGATAGAAACACCCGGGTCTGCTCCATGTAGTCCCTCGTTCCCAGGCGTTACCCAACCTGCAGTTCCCCTGCAGGCTGCACAGAGCATCTGCCGTGCACCCTGCTCTCCTGGGATGGACCCGGGCTGTGGAGCTCCTTCAGTTCAGCAGTGCAGGCCTCCTGGAACAAACACTTGACAGGGGCTGGGGGCAGCACAGGATCTCCTCTGGGTGTGTCAGGCTGATCCGTGTTCCTGCAGGAGATGTGTTGTTGGGGAATTGCTGGCACTTGCTCACAGCTACAGTCTGGCATCAAAAAGGACTAGAGGAATGTACCATGCCTTCAAGCAAGAATATCCATCTGAAAGACAAAGGGGAGAACCACAGGTACATGTTAGTGCATCACCAGTGTCATATACTACAGGGGTAGAAAGAGCAAGGGCAGATTATCCACCCAGCTCTTTGGGTTCATCAGTTGCAATATCCCATTTGTTCTGGGCTGTGGGTGCTCAGCATAGTGACAAGAAAGAGGAAAACATATCCTGAGGGTGACTTTAATTACAGAAAGATTAATTATGCAAAAAGAAATGAAGTACAAGATTTTAAGTGGTTGATTGGATTGTAGGCCTAAATCTCTAAACACCAGCATTTTAATTAGCAGCTGAGTAGTAAAATATCATTAGCCTTTGTTGTCCTTTTGTACTGAGCCAGCCTTTCCCCATGGCCTCACCACGCTCTGTGAGGTCCCAGCTTTAAACCCCAAGAAGGTCTGGTTTCTGAGGCTCCAGGACACTTATGTGCCCAGCTCTCAAGTACAAGTCAGTGGAGCTGGATGCCCCTCTGTGACTTTGGAATTCTCCCACCCACAGTGTCTTTTCCAGCTCTGAGATGGTGTCAGGTCTCCACTGTCACCCTTGGCTGACCTCTGACCACTGCCACCCCACCTCACCCAGTGGTGAGCTGCCCCCCCTCCAGCAGGATCTTGACTTTGGCATATACTGAGTGCTCTTTCAGGCCACGTTTCACATCGAACAGCAGAAGGCTTGCCTCCAAGGGAAGACAGCAGCTCTAAGCCAGCAAAGATGTTAAGCATGTACTTAGCTTTGCTGACTTGCAGGGGTTGCAAGTAGATTTTGCAGGATATGCTTTTCTGCATATGTCTGCCTATATAAAACGTTGTGGTTGAAAGTCTCCTTTCTTCTTCCCAGCTCTGATGAAAACATATGTTATATGAGGAAGAAAATTAACTTACAACTTGCACCCTGTATGTCCCTGGAAAAAAATCAGCTCTATGATATGACCTAATGGCAGCAAAAAGCTCTCAGACCTGTGATAATGCATTAACTATTTTGAAAAATGAAAGTCATTCCAGGTAGCCTAGTACAGGATGGAAACCCTGAATATTACCAGTATCAATCACTAGAACACATCGTAAATGAAAGCATGAAATCCAGCACTAAGCAGGGCCCCCTTTTCATTGCACAATCTAAAGCTCCACGCTATCTGGGCCAGATTTATAAGAGAAAGCAGCCTCTTAATGAACCTAATCCTATTAACAGAATTGTCAACTTAGGTTTGTCATCATAAAGATGTTTTTAGCCATGAGACATTTGATCTATGGACAATTTTTTTATTTTCAGAGTATTTAAGGCATCACCTCCATAGAAAACATATATTTTAAATTATATACATACATAAATAACTATTTTTATTTAAAAACAAAACAAAACACAAAAACCAACGTCAAACACTTATTCATTTACTGCCTTTTTCCTGAACTGGGATCAAATAATTAATTAGCTTCTGCAAAGTCTAAATGCAGGGGCTTTAAGTTATGGTGCTGGTAATACTGGAGATGAACATCTGACCACAGGCTCCTCTAAGCTGTCCAAAACCTTGTCTGCAGCATGACAACCTCCCAGAGGCCCCACCAGCCCTTTCACATCACTGATCTGCACAAAGGTCCACCATGTCACCTCAAATGCCACTACTTTCTGTCAGGGTATTGTCACATCAGTGCCGTTCTTCTGTCCAACTGCTGGGGCCTGTGTGGTGACACGTGAATCTCCAGCGCCTCAGGAAGGGACTATGTCACCTGCTCCAAGCAGGTGGGTCCCCTCCCCGCGTCAAAGCACTTGTGTGGGCACTGCTCTACCACATTCTCAGCCACTGAACAGCAGGATCTTTTTCATTTGCTGATGCTTAGAGGAAAAGAGTATTCAGATGCAATCAGGTGTCTTTTCAGCAAGAAGTGTTGCTGAAGATATTAAAGAGGAAAGCTTCTTCCCATGAAAGAGTTGTGCAGTCATGTAATCTCAAACAACTCTTACTCTGTTGTGCTGTGATGGGGATATTGGCAAGGCTTGATTTAATGAACAGTGCCATTCTAGAATTAAAGGGATGTTTTGCTTGCATGCAGGTGCTCCCTCAGCTCTAGCTGTGCCAGGGGAACACATACTGACTGGGGGAAAACCTACCTCAGGAGCAGCTCTTCGGTGCATGCAGGCTTTAGGAAAGTATCCAAAACCAAGCGTCTCCTAAGCTGGACGAGCTCTTTTGCTGCTCTGGCTGTTTCCTCAGCAGGCCGAGTGAAGGAGCTGTGGCTCGGCTGCGGGGCAGCGTGGCTGTCAGGCCCCGACGGCTCCGGGGGCCCCGGCCTGGCCCTTCCCCACCGGCCTGGTGTCCAGCTGGGGCCCCGTGTGCTGTGGGAAGGGACAGCCTGGCCCATCCTGGACAACCTGCCAGAAAGCCGGGCCGAGCGCAGGGCCCCAGGGGCTCTCCCTGAGGCCGGCCCGAGCAATGGCTGTCGGGGCCTGCGAGGCCGGGGGGACAGGCCCCGGGCTGTGCTGTGCTGCGGCCCCCGGGCTGTGCTGTG